AACTGCCTCCGGATATTAAATACGGATAAGAGTCACATACAAAAATCAAGATACATTTGAGCAGCCACCCCTATGGCCAAATATCCAAGCGCCCATGTAAAATACCGCTAGGTTAAATATCTATTTCTGGACCAATTCAGCACCAAATTTGAATCTGAGACGTAGAATTTCTTCACCACATTGAGATCTGTCGATTATACGTCTCAATTTGCTGCAATTTTGAGTAATGAATATGAAATAGAAGTCAGAAAATTTTGTGAAAAGTTGGTAGTTTATAGATGACGTGCACCATAGTAGTGTGATACTATCACGGATTTTTGAAATCCATAAAAATAGTTCCATGTAACATTAACGTTATCTCATTGCTGTGCACACCAGTTGTGACGCTTTCGTAATACTTAGGATAGGTTCAAGTGTCCCTGTAGACATTCTGTTGAAATACTTGTGTCCTTTTATGGGCTGGTCTGGATGCCACGATATGCTGTAATAAAACGACCATATTGCCAGAAAAAAGCTTGAGGGTGAGCCTGGATGTCAAAACAAAAGGCCAGAATCTTCGAAATTTTCGCATTTTCTAAGAAATAGGCAAAAAATGAAAATGTTATTTGGAGAATTCAATATTTTGCCAAATATCGCGTTTTTGGCCAAAAAATAGAAAAAAGATCTAATTATCAAGGAACTTTTGTTCTGAAAGTAGACAATAGCTGCGAATCTTGGAGTTTCTTTCGAAATCAGTTTGGTCCAGACAGTACATGAAAAATATAAATGAAGAGTACAAACTTGAAGATAGATTTAATTGAAACTAAAAATATTCAGAATTATTTATGGAATTCGCAAGGTGGTTCACCTTGCGCAGCATACAAAAATGACTGTTTCACCTTGCTTTTTCTAGTTTATGACAACCAAATTCTTCAAATTACTTTGAACCAATTTTTCGAAATATTCGAAATATTAATTCGGCAAACATTCGGGTGTGATCCAAACCCACCCTGAATGTAAAAAAAACTGGAATTCTTAAAAAGGTGTGCCTGGATGTCTAAAGTACTAGAAAAAACTCCCCAGAATGTTCGGGTGATTTGCTCAAATTATGACAGAAATAAAACACGCCGATTTGGCCTTTTTATCTGACACTTGTCCTGTCTCTACATTCGTGATATCGAAGGCATCGAGATATTTCCGACGAACTTATGGAGTCAGTTTTGATACGTACTTTGGGAACGTGAAGAAAAAGAAAAAAGTTGTCACAGAGCTCTTTGACGAATATCACTGTGTCATCCAGACCAGTTCAAGGTTGAGAAAAGCTGAACAAACTTCATCATCGCGACATGTAATAAATTATGCGAGTAGTGGAACTACTGTAGTAACTTAGTATTCATTATGTCGGGGGGAGCTTGTCCCCCTAAAGTATACTACTGCTTATGCCCATAATGTATACTCCGGAATCCCTAATGTATGTGTACTCCCTCCGTCCCACGTTAATTGTCAATGTCCTTCACAAAGATTAAAGTAACTAACTGTAAGGTAATGCATCAATTCTTGACACTGCCCCTATTTGACTGACTTTTAGCCAATAGAAACTCGATATTTTTGTTTTTACTAACATTACGGTACACGTCTCAATGATGAAGTTTGTCCAGCTTTTTTCAACTTTACCCTTAACAGTAAACAAAAAAATACAAGTACAATTAATACTAACGTTACGTTGTACTCCAGTACTATTAATACTAATAGAATGTCAACCAAGAGCAACTCCGCGAAATATATACTAGGTATGTGCTCTTAATAGTACAGTAGTAAATACTTAGTAGAAGTACTCACTTTCGCGCCATGAGTGGCCATCGTTCGACGGACATCCTATATGAGGTGCTGTCATCATGTTTATGCTGCCATCACAACCTAACAAACCCATGGTTCACTGCGTTATATACCCCAGACGGACTTGCTGTTTTCTTGTAACTTAAGTCGGCCGTGCCATTTGACATTTTTCATGGGGCGAGGCTCTGTACAGTACACTAGTCAACCGCTACTCCAATCTAAGAATCTATACAAACCATACGGTCGTACCTTCGCAGATGCATCACTCTGGCGTCAGGCGTCGTGACCTCCGGCGCAGTCAAAAGCACGCCTCCGATACTCACGTTGGAAAGAAGCTTCGACAATGCATCTGGTATCAGCCGCGCCACCATTACAGACTGTACCATCCCTAACCAAACCACGATCCCCCCAAACGACATTGTGTCGAGGGATTGCATGGCTGGTGGAGTAGGGCGAAGCGGGGCTCGAAGTGGTCAGTGGGGGGGGGGCATGTCAGCAGCTACTGCTTTGGATGCACCCAACTCGGCGCCGCCATGTAATACCTGCAGCCCTTGGATGGAAAACAGCAATGTCACGAGCAGTAAAAGGTCAACATGTTGCTATTGTTTTGTTCCGCAAATGGAAAGTCAGGGAGCCCCACGCGATACGACAAGGAGCTTCGCCCAAAGCTGGCATTGAACTACCCTGGCCCCAGCAATCGGACCTAGACTCACGTGTGGCACACATGTGATGGCGGCTCCAGGGATAACGGGGAATGACACTGCTCTCCACATGTGCATGATCTTGAACGAGTCGACGATGTCCGGGTAGATTGTGGAAGGAACATTATTGAAATGGAACGCGACCGGCACCGCAGCCGTCGACAGGAGTGGTCGAGTTAACTGTTTGAGACGATGCGTCAAGTTGCAACGATGCTCGTGAAGGAAGTTCCTTATTGCAAACGTGTTTAGCAAGCATATTTGGTGCACGTTACAGGAAAGGTACAACTGGTGACATGTATACACCCCTGCCTTGGCTCAAGAATACACAACTCTCGTTCGTGTTCGCCGCTGGCACTTTCAGACTTGTCGATGATACGGTATTCATGAAAATCACAGTAAATGTACTAACGTTAAGTAGGAGTTAGCAACTTGACCAACTAACCGAGTAGGCCGTCGTTCAAATGGATGTCTATGATCTATTCAATCACCCCATGGGCGGGGCAGTCATCATGCTCATGCCAGCGTCACATCCAAATATCCCCATCGATCCCCCCATAGTTCCAAATTTGGCCTCTTCAAAGCCACTGCGCGATGTCATGTACCTCATCGCAGCGGATTTAGTGTTTCCCAGGAGAAACTGGTGCCGCGAGTACGCCAGGCGCACGCGGGTATCCATGCCCGGGGTCCCGATCACCGCCAAGTAGACGGCGACGGCGTCCGGCACCGGCGTTTTGGATGCTGCCACGGCCATCTCGTCCGGCACGACCGTCGCGAATGGCAGAGCTTCCACCGCGAACGCTTCGTCCACGCCCACAAAGCGGCAGTCGTACGACGGCACGCGACACATCCTGCGCCACTTGGTCTTGGCGAAATGGGGAAACAGCTTCCCCGAACTCCACGCTGCATAGCTGGGGGCAAACGACGAGTACGGTTCGTTGAATGTACTAGTCCAGAGGAGAAATGTGTCGGCATATTGTTTGTCCACGTCATCAAGGTCCTCGTAGATCCCTGGACCGACGACCGCTGACAGATCGTCTTCTTCATTATGTAGATGATCCTTGTTGTCATGGCGAGTCACCATCTTGTGGTAGTTGCAGGCGTCATAACATTGATGAGCTTGCATGATCAAGTCAATGTCGGACGTCGCCACGAGGCCAGTGATTAGTTTTCGAGTATGTGGTTGTTTCGGTTTGTGTTTCTTGGCTAGTTTTTTGCGCTGTTGTATGCGATACAGGGCCAAGATGTGCAGGTACTTGTGGTATCGAGTCATGGACGCTTGAATCACCACCGGAGTCGTCCAGTACTCCATGTGTGGACACAACTTGTTGACAAAGTCCAGCTGCCGCACCATCGCAAGCACCAGATCGACGTGGAACGACCCGAACGCCGTCCCGAAGTGGCGCTCCACTTGCGCCGCCACCTCAGCATGCAGCGACGCGAGCGCGTCGGCCACCGCCGTGGACATGACGGCCGAGATCCGGCGCACGAGCTCGGCCAGAAACGTCTGCACGCGGCCGCTCTGGGGCATCCCTGGGGTCACCACGAGTAGGTTCTGTGGATTATTGCGAATATCGCGGCGGATGTGAAACTGGGGGGCTTCGGCAATGAACGCTGCGATCTGGAATGCTTGTATGGACATGGTGTTGGTGCAGCGCGCACACACGATGGCTTCGTCGAGGACGTGCAGGTTGTACATGTCATGGAGGGTGAGTGGTTGGCCGCAGCGACTGTGTGGACACGTGGCGAGCAACGCTTTGATGGACGGGCGAGCGGACGGGGGCGATTCATTGGACAGCTGCTCTGTGACATGGCGGGCGTACTGCACCGGGTGCAGCTTGTACACGGTGTGCGCAAAGTTGTTGGTGTGGACGTTGCGGCAATAGTCGGCTTCGATATCGAGTAAATGGGCGTATACTTGCTCCATGGTCGAGCAAGTGGCCTGCAGTTGGTACATGGCGTGCATGTCGGCGAGATGCGCCTGCACGTGGTCGATGGACACTGTGGACACGTTTACCTCCTTGGTTGGGGACCTGGCGTGAGCTTCGACGATGTCTGTGGCCACGCTTAAGAGAGATGTCAACACGTCCGCAACTGGAGGTGTCCACTGGGACGTTGTCGCAGCTAGCCGAAGCACGTGCTGGAACTTGGTCAGACGGGACTGCGATGACACGCGCAAGACAAGCTGGCGCTGGCCGTTCACGTCCAGGCTGTACAACCCCTCCGACGACATGTCGGCGATAGTTACTTCCGACGCTCGGAACGAGTGGGTCTTCTTCTTGTCGAGATTGTACACGTCTAGCATGGAGCCCGTGAGTGCGAACTCGCGCCACTCCATCTTGGAGAGCGGAGTGGATATCTTAACTTGGAAGTCGACTATGTACTGCGGCAACTCCATTGCCATAGGGGTACTGGTGTCTGGCAACACCGCCACGAGTGTCGGGTCGGTGTCGGGGATGTCCATCTCGTGTAAGCAGCTTATTACAAAGCCAAAAGGAAAATGAACCTGACAACTTGTCATCACAATGTCGAGTAATTTCATCTCGCCAGGAGTATACCCACAGGTCGTTACAAAAGTACATACTACAATGAAACGCATGTACATATGACGGAATATTTCTCTGTATTTAGAGCTCCAATGACATCCTGGAGCCACATAATGATGTTGGGAAGCTTTGACATGAGCTCTTCGGAGCTCCTCCTAGATGCAAACGCAGAGACTAGGACGATATCACTGAACCGGAGTATTAACGTTATGGTGAACATAAAGTGTTTACAGCATGCAATTTCCGCCCAGCTTGTGTACTTTTAAAGTCTCGTAACACATCACTCGTGTATGTGATGAGGCTGTGTTTGCCGCAAGGTCGGTTAATTGAGTTTGGATTATCATTTTTAAGACATTACCGCAAGGTCGGATATACTGTAAGTTGTGGATGATTTTGATGGATAATTTATATGAGAGTTTGTATTATTTTGGTAACAAAAAGCATATGATTGGTGTATTTTTATTCAATACTAGTATTACAAAAATACGACGAAGGGCAACATGATATAGTTCACCAGAATCGACTCATAGTACATGGAAGTTGCCTTCAATTTGGCAATCCTCGTCGAGCTGATACGGTTTTGTACAATACAGTTAGCATCAATAGCAACACACGACTCCTCATCGCGTTCCTAGTGATTAATCTCATACTTTTAGTGCCACCTGAGGTTGTGCACACTCTTCGTTGGGTTTGAGAGTTTTAGACAAAACTCGTGAGTCAAGTCAACAAATGCTTTGGCTACTGCACAGATTTGGCAAGTCATTAAATGATGTATCTTCTGCACTAAGCAGCTTTCATCAATTGATCTTGCAACCGGGTTGGATCGGTCGAATCCCAAATTCAACAAGATCGCTGCTTGGTCGTGAGAGGAACCGTTTTGAAACATGCATAACGCGTTCATCAAAACTAACTGTTGTATTCGGTGAGGTGATAAGTATATCTACGATATCTAAGCTATCGATTGCCACTAATTTCAGCGAAATCGGAGCAATATTGAGCGAGTGGCGTAGTTTTGAAAAGTTGCTTGTCTGGTCGTGTAATTTTAAGTTTGGATGTACAATAAAAAAAATCCCAAAATAGCTACTACGTAGTACGTATTCCTGTGTGAAATCCCTACATGAAAAGCCTATAGTAGAATGAATTTGGGTTATTTTTGACTGACTGTGAGTTGAGGTTCTGAGAATTCTTCCACAACTTTTATCTGGAACAGAGGAAGTATTAGTTTATGCAGGACCCATCGTTGCATCGCTTGTCGACGAATTTTTCAATACTGTAATTTTCCTATGTAACGTTACCGTAGTTGATTTCTTAAGTGGGAACTTTTAGTTCCTCCATAATCAAATATTTCTGATTATGAACTACCTGTTATACTTAATAAATATTATTTATGGCAGAACTTGTTTGACCAACGAATAATTCCCTCATAGCATGGTGTCCATTTTTACAGTCCAGTTCTTTTTACACCATAGCCAAATAAGTATGAGCACAAAACAATACTCACTAATCGGGGTTAACTATAAGTACATCTAGTAAATAAGATTGCTCATCACTGAGATGTAACTTTACCGCCCGAGAGGTTAACCCGGGAATAACGTTAGCATTAAAGTATTGGTTTATTTGAAAGAGTAACACTACCGTCTATCAGGGAATTACTCGGGAACTAGCTGACGAAATGACCTGTGAAAGTTTTTGAAACATTTGAATTGGGACAGAACTTAAACGTTTCAGTAGAATTCCATTTATATAACATGAAGTTTGTATGCATTAAACATCTCTGTAAGAAGTGTTCCACTGCTAAACAGAATGCCATATATATAGTGGAATTGAGCCTATGTATACAATTTGACTTTTAAATTGAATTACCTTTGTAATACTATATTTGCCATATATTTTAAATATCCAGAAAAAGAGGTAATGTGTTGAATCCATCATTTGACATGTCGTAGAAGTTCCCACTTAACAAATCAACTACGGTAACAACTTGCTCCATCGTCGAGCAAGTGGCCTGATGGCGTGCATGTTAGCCGCCAGCAACGCGCAGGACAATCAGCCACTGGCCATTCCCTTTCAGTGCCACCGAAGTGAATCGCCAGCGGCGGTGAAGGGGTGATTCATCCCACCATGTAATTTCCGCACAGTTAACAGCCAATCACAATCATCAAACGAAGGTGATTGGATAAAATTACGTACTCAGGTAAATAATACCATTATCATTTAATATTTGAATTCTTTGACAACCCATATAATCTCATACTATATAAGTAATTACAATGACTTCTAAATTGAATACCTTGTAGTAGACTTTATAAATATTACTATTGAGAGGTTATGAGAATTTCGGTGGTCAAATCTGTCATACATTATTCAAGTCAAACACCTGGGCGGAATTTACATTTACTGTACGCACATTTACTCCATATCAAAGCCGACTATTGCCGCTACGTCCACACCAACATGTACAAGCTGCGGATGCGCATTATTATCGAGCACGCTTCGCCTTTTCGAGCAACTTCGGACAATAGAGAGACTTTCCGAGCGTACTACTTTGATAGAGACCACCAAATTACTGTTCTCCCTAAACGGCATAACTTATTCAATTTATACAGTATATTGGATTATGCAAGTATTGTAAATTATTGTATTGTAAGTAAGCCTCTCAGCTGTACCAACACATAAGTTCCTTCACAATTAATATTATCCTTTTATACAGTATAGCCCTTGTCGAAGTGACAGGGAGAGGAGTAGGCTACTGTGTTTTGAACAATTTTCGAGCACTACTTTGGACCATATGCTCCTCAATTCCCCGTACCAACACATTTTTACCCGATAATATTGGCTGGGCTGCGATACAGTGCATCATGGCACTTGGCGAACTCTGCGATAGACGGTGGGGGCCGCGAATTGAAAGATCGAGCGCACGACCGACGGGTCCAGCATGTGCTGGTGCTCGAGCTTTCGATAGAGAGCGTGGAAGCAAGCCTGCTGAACCTCCACCGACAGGGGCAGTACATGCAACGGCGTGCCGTGATGGTCCTTGGACAAGGCATCCCCCTCGGGCGTCGCATCTATCGTGATTGTCTGGAGGGTGTGGTTGTCCTGGGTTTTCAAGTCAGTTCAATAGTGTTATATTAAGAAAATAGTATGTAGTAGGCCACACGTATGAATGTTTCCAACATATATATTGTCCATTTCGCTGAAATATAGTTTGCTTGGCAGGTATGATTCGAGGATTATTTCACTAAAATATAGGCCGGTATGATTCGAGAATTTTTATTTGGGTCATACACAAATTTAAGCTTGTGCAATGTGGACGGTTTCCACAATATTGAACATGAACATATTCTTCTTCACTAAGCCAAACTGTATTGGGCCAAGTGATATGTACTAATCGATGATTGGTTGAATGCACTTTGATTGGCTAAGACTTTTTCATTTTGGCAAAATCATTCGATTCTTTCTCGAAAGTCCAAGTGTTTTGGAACGGATTTGACAATATTCATATCAACAAAGAGAGATAGGTATAACCTGCAGGGCGTCGTGCAAGGTATCCAATGCGCTGCTTCCGATACAGTTGTGCGAGATGTCCAGTACTTGGAGATGAGGACATTCGGCCAACGATTGAAAGATCGCGGTGGCCCCCACTAAGCCCAGCACATTCTTGGCCACATTTAGTCGTTGTAATACACTCGGATATGGGGGGCTTCTCCACGCTTCAATGAGTGGCGACACGTCCGAGAGCTGGCAAGCTTGCAAGTCGAGGGCTACCAACAAAGGGCAGCAACGTAGCACCTACATACACCCATACCAGGTACACACTGTCAATCGCACTATATACAGGAGTAAGTTGGCGAAATTACGAACACTTGTCTAAACAACGTACTACTACTGGTGGAATCCACTGTCGGATGCTACTTGAGATTATTATCAAGGCAAACCGACCAAGGTCTTAAAAAAACATATCCAATATATGATAGAGGTCGTGTGAATAAATCTTACGAGAATGAATTAAAGAACCACCTGAGCCAATCAAATCACGTTCTGGTGACTTTTTCTGCCAATCCAAAGTGCTGATACAGTTCCGTCCCTCTGGATTGGGCAAAACCCGATAATATAGACGAAATTCATGGTATCGTTTTACTTGTACAGTACAAGCTTAAATAGGGTGCGTCGAATGTCCAATTTTAGGTGAAAAGCACAATACATACATGTATATAATATATATACATATATCCTATGATCTCAACCACGTACTAGTAGTACAGTACCTCTCGTAGTTCGTCCGTGGTGAGGCCATATCGTCGCAGCCGCAACCTTTGAAGCGATCGTACGTTCGGAAAACTCGTCAACAGGGGCACAACCACATTTGCACTGGTCAAGTCGTCCAGCACCAACTCACGCATATGTTTGTCCTTGTGGGCCTGCTGCTTCACATCAGGGCATAATTGTTGCATGGGGAACTTGTATCGATCGAGCCAGACGATGCCGCCGCCTGGTACCACTACTGCCACGTCCAGGGCAGTAGAGCACACAACTTCGACGTTATAAGTACTTGAAGAATGCGACGAGATTTGCCAGTTGCCATGGTGCTGCAATAAGATCGTGGCTGGTATAGCGTACAAGCCTCGTGGAACGGGGCTGTGGGGAACACCATGTGCTAAAATCCACGTTAGTTTTAGTGTCAATGTACACTTTAGCAACGTACCAATGTTTGGAGGAGGTGGTGCCACGTCAGATAGGTCGTGGCAACCAATCATGGCATGTGCTGCATCTTGGTGAATCGATAGCCCAGATAGATTGAGCGATTGTAAATTTGAATAAGGGGAATGCAGTAACCCAGCCGAGATCCATTGACCAGTCTTCGCCGTCATATGAGGAAGTGAATAGGCAAGGGACAAGTGCCGAAGGGTGTCGTGGTATCTAAAACACCAAGGCAAAGTAATTATAATAACAAGGATGAAAATATTTTTAAAAAAAGTCGCAATTCAATCCAATCCATTGGGTGGCAAGTACTAGTAGTAGTGGGTCGAATATCTTTGGAGCTTGGACAGAAAGATGTTTGATATATGAGTCGGCTATAGTCGATTTTCTTCAAATTTCCCAATTTTGCATGGTTCGTTCAATCGAGCACAAATAGAGCCGAGACATGTGATTGGCCAATATCCACTTTGCCCTTTCCAGTAGAAACTCGAAATTGGATTGTAGCCAATCAGCGACAAGTAATTTCAGATTGACCAATGGGAGAGTTTCGTGCTCGATTCGCTTGATTCCGGAAATTCATACCGAATCTCCAATACCACGTAGCACAAATCAAAGAAATACTATCGTCAAGTCGATTCACAATCGAATGAGCAGCACCAAAAATCGATCGACCAATCAAAAGCCAGATCAAGAATCAAGTAGCCAATCAAATCATCCACTCTCTCGACCAACTCAACATCGAATGAATTAAATTCGTGTGAAATTGGACGACGATTTTTACATACAAAGGTTAGTACAAACAATCGATCAATCGATAGATTTGGCAAAGAATCAGCACAAAAGGCAACCAAATTTGGGGTCAAAGAAAGACAATAACAAGGCTGGCTATTCATTCATTTTAATTCATTTTTCATTCACTCGTTGCTGCTGCTGTAACGTACCGCAAGGCGGTGACAAGACCAACGACATCGTCTGCGTTGAACATGTTGTTCGTGAGTGACAGCGTGGTGAGATATGGAAGATATGTATGCTGTTTTCGGCTGCGAGGATATGGAGCCAACTTGGTGAGAAACGAAGCCAAGACATGTCGATTCCACGATGAAAACGTCTTGGCCAGGCATAATTCCGTCAACATGGTCAACGACCCCAATTGTGGCACCACTAATAGTGATAGCCGACTTATACAAGATGGACAAGAAGATAGTATCGCCTACATGTAGGCATGGTAGCTTTGGCTCGTATGTATAGCCCATCCAGGTGTGGTTGAAGGAGGTCTAGACTGGCTACGTCATGTGTGACGTGGTGACTGTCGAGATGCAATCGAATTTGACGAGGCGTCGATGGCGCCAGACACCACACGTCGCGCCACAATGCCGCCAGCCACGCAAGCGAAGGAACGTTCTTGGCGCCGATCAGACTCCACTCAAGGCATGCGCAATGACTAAACACTCGGCCGAGCTCTCGGACGACCGCGTCCAACAACTGCATGGACAGCGTCGTGTGTGGATGGGATACGTGCAACCGCGTGACAGAATGGCGGCGAGGGATCGCTGCTGCGATGGCCATAGCGTCACGCAGGGTGTGCAAGGTAAGGCTCGTGGTAACGATGACATGCAGCACACCACCCTCGTCCGTGTCGTCAACTGACCACTCCATGACGTTTCGATGATTGAATGTGAATGAACCTACAACTATTATTAATAAATGAAACTATTAATATTGTGCTTTGCACCTTTTTTGGCAATTCCAGGGTTAAATTCATTGTTTAAAAATTTCTCAGGCTTAAATAATGTCTAAAGTAACTTGAATAACGGTTGGGTGCGTTGTTTAAAGTTACTTCATCTAATGCGATGATTGGTTGGTTGAAGGTGGTTTTACTGGAACTTTCGTAAAACAAGTTGTTTGCCGTTTTCATTCTGGCAAACAACTTGCTTTACGTCAACATGTCAAGGTGCTTGACGCAATGAAACTGAAGGAGCTATGGCCACATACATGACCTCCCATCCGTGATCACTACAGTACTAACATTACCTACTCCGAGTAATGTATATAACGTTAGGGATATAGTTAGGCTACAGTACATGTAGTCGTCGCTCTGTCCAATGATTCAAAGCTATGCCATACCTACAATTCTTGATCTGGTCTAACCTGAGCACTGTACGTGGAAGGCAAGGGCTACGACAACACGATGTATAGTACTCCCATTTCACAGCCTAATACGGTATGCATCGTGATGAACTGGTTGTTGTACGGCGTAAGTTGGCCTGGTGCTCCAACTCGATTAGTTAGCAGCTGAAATAAAGTAAGGGTTGTTTTATTCTGCTGAAATGCAGAACTTATGTTTAGCGTTGTTTTATCTTCAATCGGGCTTATATTATTTTAAACGTCTGGTTGTTTAACGCAGTTAAACAACAGCAAACTACATGAAAAGCACAATAACTTTGTACCTAACGTTATCAGTACTTCTTAACTGTTAGTAGTACTACTAGTACTCAGTATCGGAGTTCGAGCACTACCTACTAACCCGAAAAACGTTAATAAATCTGAATGTACCGTTTAGCCAAGACTGAAAACCGTACAAACTAATAAACTCTCGGTAGATGAGACATATCTTTTGTACTCTGACCACCTCAACTTACACCCGGGGATTTAGCAGTATACTTCGAAGTACTGTATGTGCACGCGGGGGTAGGACGAAGTCGTGGGGTTACAGAAGAAAATGTGCTTAAACGGTTTTGAGGATTTATTGAACGTTTTTCCATCACCTACTATACTAGTATGTACTACTATTAATAGCTGCGTTGGCAGCTAGCGGACTTAACTATGCTGTAGTATTTGAAATAGTAAACTCATTCATAAACGCTGACCAAACAAATACTATTAACGTTACTGTAATAGTGCTCCTTTGCAACACTTTGCAGTGGCCATCAACTTCGCATAACGTTACTAACGTTAGTATAATGTTAACTTAGTATTAAGTATGAATGCCTGCCTGCAGGGGGTTGGAGGGTACAGGAAAATGGGGAAGGAAGGGGAAAATAAATTCGAATTTGAGGTGTGCTTCATCACGCTTGCGTTCGTTTATGCACTGGTTGTCGAGCTGGACGTAATATACACTTTAACTACCAAACAACCTTGGAATTGCGTCACAAGCACAATGCGCACGGTAATCGAAGTTTCTCTACGATTTCTCTAACTAGCCAAGCAAGAGCTTCACACAGTTCAAGTTGGTCTAAGAATGCACACTGCGAAAGTAGTTTTACACACACACAACTGACACGAGCCAATCTCAACCGACAGGATATTACGCCTCTTGCTATTCATCAAGTTGTCAGCTTTACAAACAGCAGTATATTTGGCCACTCTCGTTGATTTCAAAACCATTCAACTACTACACACACTACAAATCACGTTACGGTGTTTCCCTCCACATACCGACCAACTGAACGGTATATCATGCTCTAGTCGCAGCCGTGGCCACCGGCAAAGCGCAGGCACTTGGTCGAGACAAACATAGTCATCACGTTGGACGTGATGGACATTACCATGATTCCGAACCCGATGATCAACGCGGAGGCGCCGACGACGGGGTACTTTTCACCGTCACGCTTCCATTCTTGGAGCATCTTCTTCTGGGTTGGGAACAGCAGCACCCAGCAGCACGCAAACACTGTCGTGCCATAATACACCAAGTACGTGTACGCGACTTGGTGCTTGGCGTCGTCGTCGTCGCGGGCGATGTCGTCATCCGAGACGCGGAACTGGTCGCAGTAGATGTTGGTGATCATGGCGCCAAACACGTTGGGCATGTTCGAGCACGTGGTGAGGAGGCCATAGATGATGCCTTCGTTGCCGACGTCCGCAATTTCGACAATGGCAAACGTTGTGATGATGAACTGAATGCCCGCGGGGATTTGCTCGGCCAGCGGCACGCCCAGGTAGAACCACTGGTCGCGCACAATATCGTAGATGGTCAAGTACTGCACGACGGCGTCGATGGCGTTGGCAGCCAACGTCGTCACGACGAGCCACCGTCGCCAATTCCACATGGTGCCCCATTTGCCCATAACTGCCAGCATGCCAGCAAAGATCAAGCTGCCAACGATCCCCATGATTGAACTGTTCAAGTTCTCCACCCCAGCCCACGTCTGCGCCACATATGGAGCCGCGGTCGTCGTGATGTACCCTGCAAACAAGTTGAACGCAAAGTTGAAAATCATGAGCTGCCACACACATCTCTTTTGCACGAGGCCCCAGAACTGCGCCTTGTACTCGGCCCACACCACAGCGTCGGTCGTCTTTCGGTCGTTGATGAAGAAGTACGTGATGAGGGCCACCACGAACGTCGGTACGGCCAACACGAGAAAGAACGCGTTCAGCCCCATATCCCACGAAAACGTACTGTGGAATCGCTCCGAGTTGAGGCAGAACCCCATGAGCGCCGTCGTGATGGTCGACGCTACCGTGCGGACACCATAGATGAGTGTTTGCATGCGACCGCGGACGTGTTCCGGCTCGCGCTGGGCGTACTCGACCACCATGGCGTCGGCCGGCACGTCCGCCAAAATGTACGCGATCGTCGCCAGCGCACACAACAAGCCCACGGTGGTGCCGCGGGCGTTGGCGGCGACATTCTCTGGGTTGAGCTTGCCCCCGTCGCGGGCGCCGTCGTACGGGTCGCCGTGGTCGATCACCCCCAGCACCAACAGACACGCGGCGCACAAGAGCCAGCCGAGAATCATGTACGACTTGCGACGGAAGCCCAGAATCGGGCACACGTCCGAGAGCATGCCCACAAACACTTTGAGCGACCACCCGAGCCCGATCAACGCCTTGGCCGACGTGAACTGCGTGCCTTGCAAGTGAAAGTACTGCACCAACACCGAGTACGGTACACTCGGCAGCGATCCGTACATCAACCCCACGGCAAAGTACTGCGCCAACAACGCCAGCACTTCTGGGCTCGTGTACACGGGGGCCCCCCCTTCGCGCAACGCGCCGTCTTCGAGGTCGTTTGGGGTTTTGCCGTCGACGTAATCGCCGTTGACTTTGTGGGATTTTGTAGCGCTCACGTATGACACGCGTTCTTGTAAATCCAAGGCAGCGACAGGCTTGTGCATGTTATTGTGACTGGAACAGGGAAAATGAAAAGTGAATGAATATAGTGGCATCGTACATGTAAGTTAGATGGGCCCTTTCTATAGCCAGCCAGCCGCCTCTATCACACACGAAATTCTGGAGAATCCACTTGACCAATCACAACCACGACTGATAAATCCATTTCCACTGGTCGACAAATGTTCAAGTTTTCGACTTGCGGTCGGGGAGCTTATGGGTGAAAGCATCACATTGCCCAATCATTTGTATGAAAATATTGTCCACCTGGGTGGCATTCCCCTTGAACTGCAAACATATGGAAACGCAATGGATTTGGTAGAGGTACACGTAAACGAGCCCTTATAAGTTACCCTTCGCAGTACGTAGCATAATTCCCTGAACCAGTAGCCCTATGACATACTAAGAACATGTAGAATGATTACGTAAGCAACACTGGAATTGTTGCTCTCAGGGAATTAATGAACAAAGTAACACGTCCAGCTTGACCTACAAATGTTATTTTTCTTCCTGTTAACACAAACAGTACAGTACTCCTGGCGGCGCATGATTGGAATTTTCTAATTGACAAAGTTTTACTCACGACCTCCACAGCATTCTGCGTGCGCCAGAAAAGTTGGGGGAATACTCTGGTCTAGCTCGCCATATACAGTGAGGCGAAATGATCCGAACCATAGAACTCGCTCAGATTTGTTTCCTGAGTATTGTTAATATGGTTAGATAAACTGGCATGGGGCCAGTAACGAGGCAGAAAGGCAAGAGGGCAAGCGTGGAAACAAAGAGTAGAAGAAAGAAATATTATGAATGTTAACTCAGGGCCAGTAAGCCGAGGCGTTGTCTTAAGCAGACTTAAGCGGAGCACAAGTCATTTGTTTTGCTTACGATTGGTGGAGAATGGGTGGTACACGAGAAGTGCAAGAGTTACTGAGACAGAAATAGAGGACGGGCAAAAGGTGCTAACAATACTGTAGGTAGGAATTGCCACGTGTGTACTAGTAGAAAATACACGTGTGATTTCAAATCCATTGAAATTCGCCCCAAACTACGAGATTTCAGGAGTAAGCTCAATAATGAATCGAATTATATTGCCTGCGGGACTTCATGCCAAATGTTCGCAGAGTAGGGTCATACAAGTAGGCACCCATGTTAGGGTGTTATCCTTGATCGACCAACCTCAGGGAATCGACGAGAAAATCAGCAGAGCGATTGTTTATGTCCGACGGATTGAGGTACAGAATGAACTTAACGTTAGGTATTTAGACGGAATCGTTCAATAGCGCTACATAGGAAGAAGGCTGCAGATTGATCTTGTGTACTTGGCAAACTTTGGGCGCAATAGTCTACATGATGAAGCGGGTAGATTACCAAGCAGTCGTCCATGGCCACGCTGCCACGTGACGCGCGCTCACAGCGTCGCCTAGAAGTAGCTCAGTGGTACCGCGCCTTTGGCCGACGGCTACGGTCCAAGGTTGATATTGCCCCCCGTCGGGGAAGGGGTTAACAGCACAGACAGCCTCGCTCAAGCGATTCTAAAGCGTCGCGATCGTCGCAACAACCCCGAGCCATGTTCTGCACACAACCACTTTCTTCGCATTCATGACCAAAGCCGAGTCCTAGAAGCACGTGGTGAACCTGTCGGAACGCCATAACGTCGTCCGCTCCATCCCTGCAGTTCAACTGGACATGAAACGCCCATGGTTCGAGCACCCTACATGTTCGGCATGCCGGCGTGCTCCCCTTATCGACGGCGGACGTTGTGCACTTGTCGGAGAAGCAAGTGGCTACCTGCTCCAATAGCGAAGGTAGCCAGGGCTGCGGAGGGGGGGTTCCGCCAGCAACTTTGTACTGCGTGTGCTTGGATAAGGACTAATACATATACGTCGGACGGTTCGGGCTAAACCGACAAGAGCCGGTTCATCAAGACGAATCCTCCATCCTCCATGTGTCGGCGGCGTTGGAGCTTAACACCCAACCCGTGCCCTGTCAGTGATTGTGGAGGTTAGCAACTTGGTTCGGAAATAACAAAAAGGGGCGCCACCTCGTAATAATGCTCTGGTGCGCAGTCCGACTACGCCGGCTTCGTCCTACAAGGTTCTGCAACTCTTGGGGCGAAGGCGAGTCCATGCGACTGCAGCATATGCAACCTCGTGAATATATTGCTGAGCGGTAGAAACCGTCACCTTTCGTCACCACACTAGAAGACAGTGCTTTAAACGAATCTAATTATTCCTATACTCTTAACACGGGAAATGTGCGTTATTACCCTATTGCAGTGGTGGTCATTAGTCCAGTGGAGATGCTCAGTGCATTTCGACTGGGTTGAGTCTTGTCGAAGTTCTTTTAATGCAGTCTCCCAAATCGAATCGCAACCGCATTCAGTGAAGTAAAACCATATTATCGAAACGCCCGTTGTCGTGTGATATATCCAACTACATTGCCTCATTTCCAAAAACTAGCTCAAACCCACGCAATGCACTCTCGCTTCACACTCATTGTCAGCCTCTTGGCCATTGCTACGACCGTTGCGACCGCCGACACAAACTGCACCAGTTGGATGCTGTCCAAGCAGCTGTCGGTGCCCCCTTGCCCCCGGCCAGCGCGACTGCTGCTGGTCTTTCAACCACCGCGCCCTTGGTGGATATTATCCAGAAGAATTCCAGCGTCTTGTGCCTTCCGCCGTGTATCGCAGCTATCACGGCCGTGGCTGCGTCCCAGTCCAGCATTCAAGATGGGAAGGCCCTAATGACGAGTCCGAATGGACAGACCAGTGCCGAACGGGGTAGTTGTCAAGAAATGGTTCCTTGACTTTCTTGACGACTGCCGTGTCTTTTACCGAGCCCTGGAGTAGTTGTTTCCCCCGATAAGGGTCAACGCAATGGCGCGTGGTGTTGGAACGTGGAGCCCCAAAGTCAAGCTGTCGGCAGTTCCCCCAGTAGTATATTGTGATACCCCCCCAATCAATCCTGCCTACCACTTTATAGAGCATTTACATGTTACGAAAGCTAATTACTACATACATCCAACCCTGGTTTCTACCTACTTCATCATGGTAACTGCCGCCCTTCGCCTCCACTGGCAATCTACATGCACTACTAATGTGGACCACATACGCACCGCAGGGGAACTACCCCTCCTCACCGAGGTAAACAACAACATCCGGTTCAAACGCCGCTACCATGATGCCGCCCCTATGGGCCATGATCGATGCATCCGTGCCCGCAGGGCTCACCTTGCAGCCAAGACGCTCCAATGGCACTCACGAAGGATCTCCTCACTACCCTCCGCCCTCTCCCCTCGCGTAGGCTACGCCGACCCTCCACTTCGGCCACCACGCCTGCCTCCGGACCCAGGGATACCTCCTCCAGCGGCCTAAGCATCCTTATCCCCTGGAACAGCCACAACTAGGTTTGCAAGTAGTTAAGTCTGCTAGCTGCCAATGCAGCTAGTACGCGGCCGAAGCCATTAAGTGCCCGCTGAGTGATTTTAACTTTACAGCGTAATATCAATATCAATATCAATACTTCATCATGGTAACTAACGACAGTAAGCTTATTTGGTTCGTACAAGCACACAGTACTACAGTAACGTTAGTAGTTTCCATGTTGAAATAGTACTGTCAGTATTATTAATAATAGTATGCCATTTTATTAATATTAGGTAGTAACGCTACAGTATTATTATTCATAAAACGGACACGTGAAACCTGGGAAACATCATATTATGATCGATACTCATAGTACCTGTATAACTTAATACGTGGGTAAAAACCATGCCGAGTGTGAAGGTCACGCCAGTATATCTTTCATGGCCATGGCGTATTTAATTTATTTCACTTGATTCGATCATTGTATCGGGATTAAAACTTATCTAAATAATACCACCCACACAGTACGAACCACAAAAAAAAGGTGTCAACTCAGCAGTTCCACGCTTTCAACGCATCGCACCTCGGACGGACAGGAGATGATGGACGGTAGCCGGAGCAGCAGTGGCCATCACGGTCGTGGACCGCGTGGCATTCCAGAGGAGGACGACTCGGCCTTGTCGCCCAACACGGTGTCGGAGGCGACGCCGCTTCTCCCGCCGCACGTCCAGATCGAAGTGTCCAAGTCGCTCAAGGAGAACCAGGACAAGTGGAAGCATCTCATGGACATTGACGCGTCCAACAACACGGCGCAGCAGATGGCCGACGACATCGACGTCGACATTGAGGCGCTCAAGTTCTTTGACGACAAGGAGTTCCCGCGCACGCAGCACGACATGTCGCGGAGCCTGTCGCTGTCGAACATCATGTATTCTCCCTTGAGCCACGACACGAAAACAGCAAGTGTCGACGTGAACAAGTTCATGGTCGCCGCCGCCTTCATCGAGGACGGCATCCACGGCCGCAAGATCGGGTATCGCATCGACGCCCAAGCCCTGCGCATGGTGCGGTGGTTCCATTCGACCTGGTACCGGTACCTCTTCAACGTCGTGGGCATCGGGTGTTGTGCACTGGCCTTTGTTGAAGACGGGCAGGCTCGGCCGCTGGACGTGTGGTCGCTGGTGCGTCTTATGTCTATTTTTGTGAATTCTTTTCGCGAAATTTCAAAATTTATCATTTTTTACGCGAAAATCGCTTTTTATCCTGCGTTTGACATGAGTTTTTCCCGATTTTTTCGACGAAAGAGGGAATAATTCAATCTTTTTTCATGTTTTTTAGGTGGAACTGCTCTGTTTGCTGGGGTTTTCCATGGACGTATACTACCGCTACGCCATGAGCTCTGACAAGACCAAGGCGCAGTTTCGACAACGCGAACCGTGGGCGACCTTGCGGTACAAAACATGATTATATATATATATATATATATTTTAATAATCAAATAGCCTTGGGATACCGTTGGTATTTGGACGAGTTTATTGTAATGTAGTTTGCATGTGATTGGCGAATTGAATCGTTTAGAGTGTTTTGATTGGTCGATGGATATTGTCAGTCGATTTGGTTTTCAGCTCATTTTAATAGTAATGAAGCCCACGTCCAAACGATTCTAATTGGATTGGCCTTTGCGCTGAAATATGGACAGACTCGATTTGTGTCTGCTTTGAAACATATTCAATGTATCATATACAATTTTAAAGATATATTTTTTGGCAAACTGAATCGTTGGTAACCATGTCTCCATCGTGCAATTTGATTGGCTATAGGACAATCTATCAATACCTCGTTCATTCGATATTCTTCGACGTGTTCCCATATATATATATAAATAGGGAATTTATCACGTACTCTGTCCCAACCCTTGTTTCTTTTGTCTCGCAGTGTTTATATTTAGATTTGCTCGTGTGTTTTGAATTATTTTTCGTGTTTATAACTTTATCTATATTTTTGCTCGTCGTTTGAACCCAGTAAATGCGTGAAAAACACAAATATGACGATGTGGCTAATGTTGTATATTCACTTTTGTGTAGGTTTGTGCTGCTCGTCGTGACGTTTGCCGAGATGGGGTTGTGTGCGGCGGGAGTGTCGATTGTCCAGCCCCGATACACTCGCATCTTTCGGCCGTTCATGGTCATCGCTCGTCGCCGCAATATTCGCGTGGTGTTTGCCAGCTTTCTGCGCGCGCTCAAGGATGTGGCGGTGGTGCTGGCGCTGACGTTGTGTGTGGTTCTGTTCTTTGGGCTCATGGGCTTTCTCCTGTTCGCCGACTCGAGCGTGATTCTGAACGTGCCGTACTTTGCCACATTGGGTGACTCGCTGTACAATATGCTCTTGATCCAGTCGTGTTTGCCGGTTATGATGGCGGTACGTGCTGATTTTTATAGTGTTTCGATCATTTCGTCGTTGTCCAACATGAATGAATATATATGTTTTATAGGTGATGCTGCCGTACTACGTTCAATCCCAGTGGAGCGCGTTGTACTTTGTCGTGTTTGTGCTGTTTACCAACTTTTTTCTTGTCAAACTTACGATCGCCGTGTCATATCGTCGATACAAGCGAAACACGGAAAAAATGCTTTATAAACGCCTCCAAAAGCGTAAAATTGCACTGAGCAAGGCATTTGAGCTGCTGTCGGACGACCCATTGGATGAAGACACCCCTCGTACGATTACGCTCGACGCGTGGCTAAACGTGTGTCGGTACGTGTGTACTGTACTGGATGAAATTAGATTTTTTTTGGTTTTATATATATATAATTAAAACTCAATAAGTCCAATTTCATCAATATATATATATATGTTTAAAATGGTACGTGTGTGTTTTTGATGAAATTGGAATTTTTTGGTTTTAAATATATTTATTTACTTAAAACTCAAAAAGTCCTATATCTTCAATATATATATATATATATATATAAAATGGTTGCTAGGTTTTTGAAGCCAAAATGGACTTCCGAAGAGGCGGAAGTCGTGTTTTATTCGAGCGACGTGCAACAGACGAATGCTGTGGACTTCACCGCGTTCATTCAGTTGAGTTCTGTGCTTGTAAATGCCTCCGTGAGTCGTCGGCACCGCCGCCCGTCGTTGTTTATTCAAGGTATATTTGTTTTTGTTGTATATATTTATATATATGTAGTTTATTCAAGGTATGATTGTACTTTTATATTTGTTTGTGTATATATTTATATATATGTAGTGTTGAGGTTGTGCGGCTTGCAAAGAAAGACAATGTGTCTATCGAGTTATGATTTTGTGTTGGTTATATCCACAGATGTGAACGAAGATATGCATGCACTTTTATATATGGTTATGTGGGTTTGTATATAGATTTGAAGACATGTAGTCTTTGCAATCACATTTGAGTGTTACATGTTCCTTACAACGTTATCAGTTTTCTTTGATTTTTTACATTCTCTGAATATTTCATTTTCTTATGATATTTCGTAATGTCGTGTGTATTTTTCATATTCCTTTTGAATTTTTTATTTCGCTGTATACCGTTCATTTATTTATCATGTGGTATGACCATATGTCGGTTTGAATTCTTCTATACTTGATTTCGGTTAATTAACATATATATATATACATACCATGGACACAAGTGTTTTAACAACGTCTGTTGATTCTACAAATGAACTCTATATTCTTATATATTATTGACGCACATGCATGAAACTGCGAAATCTGCTCAAAAGCTGCCATTTCCTTGACCATCAATATGATTATTTTTATTCGTTTCAGCCACCACCACCAAATAAATTCCAACGTTACTTGTTCCTCTATTTTATGTTTAAAGACCCATATATACATATTATCGTAGACATGAAAAAGTGGCAAACCCGAACGCGCAACTTCCTTCTCGCCCAAACCACAGTATGGGGGTACCCTGTGATCTACATGGAGGTATTTGTGGGCTTTTTGATCTGCTTGTCCGTGGTGCAAGCGACCCAAGTGAATAATTACGCACTTACAAACTCGCTCAATCATACGTGGCGCCTCGTGGGGGTCGGGCTTCTCTCGCTTTTTACCGTTGAAATCTTGCTCAAGTTGTTTGCGTTTGGGTCCACCGGTACGTGCTCTAGTCTGCAATATATATATATATATAGAACTCGTGGTTCCAGCGTTCAATATATATGTATATATGTATAGATTGAATAATATTTTTTGTAGAATTCTTCAACCGGCCGTTCTGCCAGTTTGATATTGTCGTGGCGGTCGTGGGCTGGCTCTTTTATGCCATGACTAGCCTTGTGCCAGCGTTCCCCGTGGTATTTTACGACTTGGCGCTGGCTGTGCGGTCCCTTCGGGTGTTGAAATTGCTCAACTTGTTTCCTCCGTTTCACAGTATCTTGTGGACCATGGTACCTATATATATATATATATATATATATATGTATCAAGGCTAACTTTTTATTATTATTGTAGAACCGCATCATCCCATTGATTGGGCAACTGTTTTTGGTGATTCTCAGCGTGGTCTACGTGTTTGCCATCTTGGTACGCACAAATATCATACCCATGGACTAACATAACAATACATATATATATATATATAGTTTATCATAATCTGAATGGGTGGTATCTTTCGAGGAATGATATATATTTTTTCATAATATATTTGTATAATGCAATCGAGTAGGCGCAAGCGAATTATGGCCAAGTGCTGGCGACGTTTCCCGACTCGTTGAAAGCAAATGCGTCGGCGTGGTACATCCACAAGGAAGAGTTTCAGCTCGATACGTTTGAAAAGTACGTTTATTTCAAATATATATTAATATATATACTGTAAACACGGTGGATATTTGTATTAGCTGCCTCGTGACGTTATTTGAAGAAGCCACGTTGGCAGGGTGGAACAGCATCATGGACGCCCTCTTCGTCGTAACCCAAAGCCCCCACACGCTCATGTTTTTCTTTACATATCGGATCACAATCAGCAACATATTGCTACCAATTTTCGTGGGTTTTCTTGTCGAAAGCTTCAGTTCCAACCAGAAACCAGCGGAATCGTACGTTGTTATGTCCCTATCAAGTACTTAGTCTAGTACTTCAAGTGCATTCGAATGCTCTTTGTTCCAGGACATATCTTGTGTGAATTATGATGAAAAAATCATCGAAAATCGGCAAATTTTGTCGGAAATCGTCGAAAAATACCCAAAAATCGTCGAAAAAAGAAAAAAAATGTTCTGAATGGAATGGTTGAATTGTAGGGAAGAATTGGCCAGCACAGAGACGTTGAAGGTGCTGCCAGCGTCGACGGATGCCCCCCCAACCGTCCAAAAGCGAGTCAAGTACAAGATGAGCTTCCAGCGACGGACGTCGGACGTCCAGAGCGCCATGTTTGACTTCTCCAGCAAGAAAATCCAGCAAGATCAATTTGAACGCAAGGTGAAGGAGCTGAATTTGATCGTACTGGCGAAAAACGAACAGCTCGCGGCGTTACGGGCGCAGGTGGACGAGCTGATGCAAGCCCAAGCCACGGCACATGTACCGACTAGTTAGTACTAGTAGCTACTAGTAGTTAGTTGGTTGAGAGGCCAAGGTTGCACAATTAAATTTTGAAGTTGAGTACTTCACACAGGGCGACCATTGATGTGCCGATTTTTATACTTGAGTTATGTATTGACAACGAAAGGTTCAACCGATTTCAACAACATACAATTACCATTTTATAAAGGTTTATAATTCGAACAGGTATCATGTATAGAAGTACTTTTAAACACAAATGCCAGGGTTCATATCATGAATTTATACAGGTATCATTTCTCAAGACGTTGCATTTTGTCCAATGAGAATCTATTTAGGGTTTGATTGGATGAATAAAGTCGGCACATCAATGGTCGGCCACGTATGCCCAATGCGGAGGGGTCAAACGTTTGGATTGGCAGAAACTCCACAGGACGTGATTTTGATTGGCGTAGACGGTTCTTTAATCCATTCTCCTAGGACATTTGATTATTCTGCTGAGGGCTCCAGTTTCGAATCGATTTCACAAAAACAACGACTAGAGTATGTATTATTTTGGCATCAAACCGGTGTTATTGTTGTGGTTGTGTTTTATATTCCACACTGGAGTGACTTGGAGAATGAATCGATCGACACACACCCAAATCAAATGTACACAAGACAAATCGTCAATAGCCAATCAGATTGCAGGAAACGGTCAACAGCATCGAATTAGTGCGATGCCTAAATTAGTGTGACGGGTAAATTTTATTTGAACGAGGATTAAGACATGTACATCACCAGTTTTATATACCGGGAAGTCCCAGTTTAATACTACGTAGAAAAAAATATTCTGCACACAAGGCAAATACAGTACTCAAGTATTTGGTCAAAGGGCACGAGTTGTTTCTGGCAATGAACACTTTGAAGGGTTTCATAAATAAGGAATAGAATTTCGTTTATTGTCGATTTGATACAAATTTCCAGACCCCGTCGAATCGAATCTCGTCGCCGAATCGAATAATCACGAATCGACGCTATTGGCTAATCCATTTTAGAGTGGATTTGATTGGCTCTGCAGAAAGGAGATGTATATTCAACCAATCAGAACTCCGGCGTGGTTCAATATTATTGGATGGACAAACCAGGCGAATTTTGGAAGTTTAAAGCGAATTAACAATATCTATATTAAATTATAGAGGTTCGACATCAACCCTGGATATGCAATATGATTGGTTGTATTTTAACCAATCCCGTTGGACCAGTTGAAGGGAAGGGGCACATTTTTTGACAGTTGTGTGATGGAAGATCAGGGTGCCAACCTCGTTCGCGCTCGTAGTGAGCGGGACCAGCTTCAAGCGCAGATTGACGCGCTGCCTGATGGCCTCGTCAAGGTACCTCCTCTCTCTCTCTTGATCTCTACCTCATGCTCACATTACATCTGCCTAGACGCACATGCTAGCGGCATTGGCGGCGTTGGAGGCGCAACTGCAACCTACGACGCCTGGCGCATCGAACAACAACGGGGACGACCCGTTGATCTCCCGCATGAAAACCCAAGCCGTGTTGGTCAAGCAACCCCAAGATGCGTTAGTGGCTGTCGTTCACTTTATGATGCAAGAGGCTGGTGCGTCCACAACAACCTACCTTCGCCCATAGCTCCCTCTTGACCCACGATGTACACAGGCTTTGTCCATACCGACAACACTCACAAGGACACGTCGCTGTTCCTGCCGCCACATTGGGACATGCATTCTGACCAAGGCATGTTTGTGTTCCAGTACACCCATCCGTATGCCCCTGCCACAACCTACACGCTCAAGGTCCCTAACCTGTTAAGCTAGTCGTAGCCACTCATTTCACCTGTATATTTAGGCGCTCTTTGTCGGTCGCCGCACGCTAGCCGTCCACGTGACTTCAAACGACCAAGCAGTGTATTCCCTCGAACTCAGGTACGAGCTAGAACTCGTACTCCAAGTAGTACACTATGCATGTATATATATATATATGTATTCAACATTCGGTTGGATTTTAGCTTGTGTTTTCGAACAAGGTGGATTTGATGTTATTGTATTTGCATGGTATATATTGCAGCCCTGTTATATACCACGTTATACGTTTTACCACTGTTTCCACGTTATGTAACAATAGTGATATAGCACGTTCTGTGTTATATACACTCGATGGACTGGACTTAAGAGCCATTTTGTAGCGTGCCGATGTATATTCGAGACTCGGCGTCGACTCTAGCGGGCGATGCGGTGCAGCAATCGGCGGCATTGCGCCGTCAGTGGACTGGATTTAGCCAAGCCTTTCGTCCGAAGGTGTTATATCATTCCTTATAACCAAATATCGTTTTTTGGCAATATATTTGGACAAAGGGTGGGCTAATACATGTTCTTGTAACGAGTAGGAGCCTCCAGCTGTGGTGCCCACCTCTGGCGACTATAACGAGGCCGATTCGGACTCGCTGCGACTTCCGGACCGCCGCCCCGTACCAGCGCCCCCACTCTACCCGAATGTACGCAATATTAACATTTGGAGACTACGTTCTCGTCTTATTTTGTGAATTTAAGTGTTCACGTTTTGTGAATGGGTTGCCTTTGTGGTTTGTCCAATGTGATGGTCGATGGTATATCGCAGTCGCGTGTATTGCTGTCGTTTGGTAGATATAATCGGCGACATGTTGATTCTGATGAAATATATATAAACATATATAGATGAGCATTGCTTTCCCATTACGATCTATCTATAAATGTATACACAGCTCCATTCCCATAACTATATCTATATAGTAAAGGTATGCTCATATCAATATGTATATATATCTGAACGATTCCTTTCCCATTACTATGGCTCTACTAATATATATGGCTAGACTGTATATGTCGACTACGTTTTGCATATCGAGTTTCAGGGGATGCATGATATACTATTTGTGGCAGGTTGGGGGCGGCGATGCGTTTCCAGAGTTTTTGGGCCCCCCAAATCCGATCTTGGGCCGCCGCGACCCAGGCATGGAAGTGGGTCCGGGGCACCCGCTGTTTGGGGGGCAAGTGGGGACGTATGGTCCGGTACCCGGGGCCCGCTTCGACCCGTACGGACCCGTGGGGCCATCGCATTTGTTTCGTCCGCAGCCGGGGCGCCAGCCCCGCGGCCCGCCGTTGTTTGGCGGGTAAGTGCTTGTATCGAGGGAATGTTAGTTTTTGGTTGTTTTTAATCGAGGTGTGTGATGTAGGCCGGACAATGACCACCTGCCCATGCCTGGGTTTCCAAATCGCTTGAACGATGACGACATGTTTTCGTAGATAAAAGCCCCAGAGTAGTAGGAATTTGTAATGTAACGTTGAGATTGGGATAAGGGAAAGACTTGGGTATTGATTGGTAGGTTGCTAGAGCATGGAACCAAATGGAACCTTTTTGCGGTTAAGTTTAGCTGTTTTTCACTATATTTCGCTTAGCTTAGCTTGTAGTATATTCCACCAGACCATCGATATAGTATTTCGGTTACCTCGAGGTAGTAGTAGTATTTAGCTATGGAACCAATCAATCAGAGTGTAGGAAATATTATAACTCGATTTTAACAAAATTCACCTTTTGTCACGGATTGGCTGGAATGATTATTAGTTTTTTCGACTACTTAGGCGAAGTGGTATTATTAGCCAATCACATGCCCCGACTGAGTAACCTCTAGTCTTAGTCCATGGGGTTCATATGATTGTCATCACAATTCAAAAAGCCTTGACGAAGGAACGCCAAGCTCGACGCCCGTTTAGTGTCGCAGAGATCATGGTTTGGATCACTTTATATCAAGCATTCGAATCCGTGTTGGAGTAGTCTCTGCCGAAAGCACGAAAGTAAAAACTGTGAAATTCTTACACAAACCCCCGAGTACGACTTGCGGTGGGCAGCGCGAAAGGACATTTGGAAGTGGTGAAATATTTGCACACCCACCAACTGTCCACGTCGTCGACCGCCGCCATCATGGATTTAGCAGCGAGTAATAATGGCCATTTGGAAGTAACCGTAGTCTCAGAATAATCAAACTGACAGTTTTACCGACACTAATGCAGTGAATCGCAGCGGATGATAATGATGTGGGCGTGTCGTGGAGCACTGCAGTGTCACTGGATTGATACCGCGGCGGCGATCGACGCGATGGACAGCGCTAGTTCTACCATGTCCAACATAACGTTGTACGACCGATGGCATGGACTTGGCAGCTGGAAATAGCCACGTGGACATCATCCTGGCATGGTTGCGCACTCACCAGGATATATTTATAAAAGCTAGTCTAAAAAAATAATAATCAAAAAGCAGATAATTCTATTTTAATATGTTGATCTATCTGGGTCAACCGGGTCGCATACGATATGGAGGGGGCAACTACGTACTAGTATGCTCAAGTGAGTACAACGTCCATGTGATCCGAAGGATATGCTTTAAAATGTGATCCGAAGGATATGCTACAAAGAGAGACTATTGCCGCCGCTATTAAATATACCTTGAATGTGTATGTATTGTCTTGGCTGGTTTCGCTCGAATAGGGAGACTTTGCTCAACGAGTCCGTCAATCGATGTCGGGTGCTTTGGATGCTCCACGAACGAGATTGTGGACGAATTAGAGTCGCATCGACTGAATCTTTTAAGAGCGCGTCTGGTAACCGTCTAAAAATGTCATTTTAAGCCGAATTTCTCCATTTTCGACCCCAAAATGGCATTTTAGGGCAAAATGTCAATTTATGATTTTGTTTAGTCGTGTCTGGGAAAATTTGGATATTATTTTGGGATCTCGTCGAAAAAGTGGAGTTTTGAAAAAAGAGGTGGAAGGCTCTTTTTTGTAACTGCCAATTTCATTTTGGGCGCAACTCAGCAAGGATGATAAAGGCCATGCTTATCGGGTGCGCTGCTTGGTGGACAGCGAACTTTGTCGTGAAAGAAGAGTGCCACTCATCTGCCTTGAGAGGCGAGGAATGGATCAGTGAGCTCATGAACGGGAATCCTCGACGCTTTAGAAACCAACTACGAATGCTCCCGAGTACCTTCATGTCCTTGCCGGACATGCTCCAAAGCAAATACTCGCTCAAGTCCAGTCGCTATGTGTCTGCCCGAGAAAAGCTGGCGACATTCATGTACGTCGTTGGACATTCAGCATCGAATCGCGATGCACAAGAGCGTTTTCAACGAAGCGGCTGGACCATTACGCAATCCATCAATGAGGAACTTCTTCTATATGGCAATGACAAATAATCTATCGAATAGGTTGTTCAAGCACTTCTGTCACTCTATGCAACTGTTGTTGTGCCACCAAGTCACGACATCCCATACCAAATCCATTCCAATCCAAAGATGTTTCCCTTCTTTGGGAACTGCATTGGTGCATTGGATGGAACTCATATCCATGCAACTCCTCCTCGCGACGCTCGGCTACCATTCCGTAATCGCAAAGGCTTCATGAGCCAAAATGTTCTGGCCGTCTGCACGTTTGATCTACAATTCTCGTACGTACTGGCTGGCTGGGAAGGCTCGGCTTCAGACGCGCGGATTTTGCAAGACGCTTTGTCAGCAAAGGGGTTCTCAATCCCTGATCGCAAAATGTACGTGGTAGTCAATATATATCCGTGAATGACATTGAGTTCTAGGAGACGCTGGGTATGGTCTCAAGCCAAATTTGATGACACCGTACCGTGGTGTGCGGTATCATCTTCGAGAGTGGTCGAACGGGAATTAAAGACCTCAAAATGCCAAAGAGTTCTACAACTTGCGGCATGCGCAGCAGCGAAACTGCATTGAGCGCATATTTAGCGTGTTCAAAAAGCGGTTCAGAATTTTGGAAAGCCCGCCAGAGTATCCATTCGACACGCAAGTCAAGCTGGTGTACTCCTTGTGTGCTATGCACAACGTGATCATGGAGCTCGAAAACGACCCGCATTTTCTCGAAAAGGTTGACGAAGCCAAAAAGAAACGTGACCGGAAGATTCAGCGTCGGAAGGATCGTCGTCGTGGTCGCCGCAACAACGCCCCCACCCGAGTTGTCGAAGATCACACCGCCGAAGCTGGAGCAGTGCGAGACTCAATTGCTGCTGCCATGTGGCATCAATACACCAACACGTTACAATCGCGACAATAAAGCTCAATCCACATTGATTATTGGATTAATTACTGTTCTTTGAAACCCATGCATCACGAGTAGATCCACGCAATGCCAAGAATATCGTCGCATTCAAGCCTTGCCCCATCACGTCGGCCAAGGTTGCAAAGGTTGCAACATCGCTTCCGTCCAAATGAGAGTAATTTTCCATCAAGCACTCGATGGCTTGCGTCACACGTTGATGCGGCTCATTCTGCTGCTGAACCTTGGAGGCCTCGACTTCGACAAGCTTGGAAATCGCCTCACCAATCACAGCACCAGCAGATCGCTTGTCGCGCTTGTGAGGATTCACCTTTTGTTTTTTTGGTGGAGGAGGAGTGGCTTCATTCGAGCTGGCGTCTGATTCGTCGTTGTCTTCCGAAAGTGCAGCACACCGCTGAACAATTCGAGCTGGTTGTGGTGTCCCAATCGCTTTGTTGGAGTCATCCGCGGGAGCAGTGCTGGGTCCTTCCATTCCTGGGGGCGCTGTCGAAAACCGACCGTCGGCGTAGGAACCCTCCAACAGTGCTGCCAGGCAATGAAATTGAGGGAACGGTGTGAAACGAAAACGTCTGCAGTTTGGGTTTGTCTAGTGTTCCATCCATAGGTCAATATCATGCATGCAGTACTGAGTACCTTGATGACAGCGTCCCACACTTCATCTGGCGCCGTAGGTAGTTCCAATACTTGGTTCCAGCCGAAACCAGAATTCTCTCGAAGGTACTTCACATCTTTGTAGTCCCTCTTGAGCTAGGCACATAGATAGTGCAGTTGTGGGTAGGTTTCTTGTACGTACACAATCAAGACGCGACTTGATCTTCGCGGTGAGGTATGTTGTGCCAAACCGCGCGTTGAAGTCTGATGTAACTTGGATCCATGCCTCCTTCTTGAAGCCGGAGTCCGACCGCTTTCCGTTGTGTACCTGTGCGCCATGACCAGAAACCGTCTCGCTCAGCACTCCAAGACGCTCTCTTCCCCTCGAGTGCGAGTGCTGACATGCTTGATTCTTTGTGGATACACCGAATTCTCTGCGCTGGGGTATAGCTTTAGACAGTACACTTTCGCACTTGGTTTTAGTATGAACGCCAAATATGTCAATTGGATTATAGAGGTTTTTCGAAAATGCCCCGTCTGGCAAAAATGGGCTCCGAAATGGTGTTTCGGACATTTTGGCATTTTCGGAATTCTTCGAATTCTTCTTCAACTGCCAAAATGTCAATTTTTGTCAATATTTTGCCAGACGCGCTCTAATAAATCAGAATATGATAATTTTTATAATTGTTTTAAAATATAATATTAAATAATTAAATAAACTATTTAAAATAAAATTTAAATGGCAATTTACTTAAGCTCAAATTGGGAAAATATCAATTGTAGAATGTGTATTTTTTTAGCAAGCTTAATTTATAAAAAAAATAGGCGTAGAGAAATCAAGTTTGTGTTTCGAGTAACGAAACCTCTGGATGGGTTGCGGTGGATATGCAATGATAGCGTGGGAAACTTTATGGATGGACGGGTGGTGATGGACTACCCATCAATGCAAAGCACAATGAATACCATAACGTTACGCTTTGTCATATGAGTATTTCAAGAATATTGTATTATCGATTTGATATACAAATTTGGGGAGGGAGTGTGATCGAATCACGCCGGCCAAACCGATCCACAATCTATCTGATTGGTTGAATTTCATTGAGAAATGGGTTTTGATTGGCTAATAATTTTGAGCTCTTCTGAAGTAGCCAATCAAATCGATTTAAATGCCAACGAGAAACCACAACCCAATGAAATTTCACTCGAAATTTCACAATATAAGGACGTTTGGTTTATATTCATGTTTATATTCATCACATGAACTACTTCAACCAAGTACAGTATTGTCGATATTCGATTTGAAATTCGAGTGTTTGGGTGCTCAATTGAATGAGCAGAAGAACGAACCAAATCGCAGGCACAGATCGACCAATCAAAACACAAAACATGAATCAACTACCCAATCAAATCTCTTCGACCAAATCAACATATTGAATTAGTGTGTATTATTGAAATTCGTGTGATATGGGGCGATCTTTACAAAAGTGTCAGGACAAAGAATCAATATTCGATCGATTTGGCGAGTCCAAAATATTGGGTAAAATCACAATATGACTAAATTAGGCTCGGCATATTTGTAACTACGAGGAGTAGGGCACACATTCTACGGCGGCGGCATACGGAACGGCATCTTGACGCCGTAGTTGCCGGCGCGTCCCATGCGATTCGTCGAGCTCGAGTTTTCATATAGAATGTCAATCGTCGAACTCCAAAGCATCGTGCCTACATGGAATCACGACATATGAACCTCGTGTACTTCTGTTGTTAGGAGAAAAAAATACTAGCAATAAAGGTATTGTCGATTAGATATACAAATGTTTGGGGACGCGGGGTGCAAACGACTCGCGCCGACCGATCCACAATCGATCTGATTGGTTGTTAACTTTCATTGAGAAATGGGTTTTGATTGGCTAATAATTTTGAGCTCGTCTGAAGAAGCCAATCAAATCAAATTTAATTTAAATTCCAACGAGAAACCACAACACAATGAAATTTCACTCGAAATTTCACAATATAAGGACACGTTCGTATACCTTTATAGTAGGCGGATCCGTTGCCAGCGTTAAACACTTCCTGACCGGGGGGTTGGAGCGTCACACACCCCATCCCACAGCACGCCCCCACGACAATCTTGTTTTTGGGGATCACCGCGGCGGCTTTGTTGGGCAGCGTGTCCTCAATCACTGCGCGGTACACACCCTGGACCATACTCAACTACGATGCTGATCATATAAACGTGTATATATACGTACGTCGCCGCCGTTGATGTTGTAAAACATGACATTCACAAAATCCACCAAGTTAGAGATCCGCGGCTCGTAGCACCGATGCCACCCATCTTCGCCTTCAGTGTACCGGATGCATCCCACGTAGTTGGCGTTGTCTGGCTGGGGCGGGTCCCACGCGTACGGGAACTCGTCCCATGACAGCAAGTACCGCGGCTCGTCGGGGTGTTGCACCGCGTCCAGCCCTACTCCACCACTTGCCCTTGGGTGCTTGCTCCATTTTTATCTTTATTTTTAATTTTTTGTGTACTATTACGTACCTTCACGCAATGCAGTTAAATAGCTGACCACCGTCGGACCGTGGCTCTTGAGCCAGTTGCCACCCGTGGCCACCATGTTGCCAGTTTCGTCGTCGATGTCAATCCCATCAAAGTCGTACCTAATAAGTATTGTCAAGTTGATTCGAGTGTTTGGGGCTCACATCGAATAAGACAATCATCGATATACGACCAATCAAAACCCAGAACAAGAATCAAGTACCCAATCAAATCATCCACGCTTGGACATTTCATTTCAACATTGAATTCGTGTGTGAATGAAACTAGTGTAACATTTTACGATTTTTACATACAAATGTCAGGAAAAAGAATAATCGATCGATAGATTATTTGGCGAATCACCATAAAAGTCCAAATTAAAAGGACAATTATATCTTCGAAACTCGAGAAGCGAGAATCGACACAATTAGCTGTAAATGTACCGAAGAATCGGCAGAAAGATTTAGCCAATCAGGTTACAGGAAATATCAAGGTCAAATTAGTGTATGATTTCAATTAGTATGATACCAAGCACCACAGGACACCTTGTTACATTCAGTACAAAGAATCGATCGACAATAGATTTGGCAAAGAAGCAGCGCAAAAGGCCAAATGGACAATACATGGACTACACAAGAATCGGCAGAAGATATATATAGCCAATCCGATTGCAGGAAACCATGATCTACGTCAAATTAGTGTGTAAAGACTTCAATTAGTGTGATACCAATTGACATGCAAAATGTTAGTCCAAAGATCCACATGTTGGGAAATACATTAGTAGGGTGTGTGGTACAGTACAGTTGGACGAGCTGGACAGCAGTCGCTTTGAACCGCGCGAGGTTGTCGGGGGATTTCAACGGGAGAAAGCGCTCACGAAAGGATGCGCCGCCCACGGCGATCATGCTCTTGATGCACCGCCTGGCACCACACCCATGAGATTACACGAACGAACGAACGATAGGATGTTGACGAACATGCGAAGCTGGCCAATGCAGTCGCGGATGTGGTCGTCGTCCCAGAACTGTAGCTTGGTGTTGATCGTGCCATCTTCGAGAGGCTCGGCAAACGACCACATGACGTGCGTCACATATCGCGTACTCAAGTCCTCCACGAGCTACAAGCATGTACATATTCAAAATGGCCGTGTCGTCGTCGCAAGAGAAGCATCACAAGCGCACCCGCGTGCAGTCGTTTTGGGTCTCCCAGAACACGGCAAAGATCTTGTCGTCGGGTGCGGCGGCAGGACATGCGTGGCAATCGTCGTACATCGGATCCTGAGAAGACAAAGATGATGATGTGGTCACCAACCAAATCGAGGACGACAACTGTCGTACGTAGTACTCATGACGGCGACATCGCTTGAGCTTTCGCTTGAGCTCGCGCCAAGGCACGGCGTGGTCCACGCCCCGACAGCTTTCCCCGAGCACTGAATCCTCTCGGTACTGAGCATACGTGGCATTCCCATACTCGGGGTCGATCCACCCGGCTTTAACGAGTTTCGACACACCGAACCCCGCGCCCGCCACGTACAGCACTGCTTCAAAGCTATCGTGAGAACCATCCACGTAATACAGCAACACGTACGTCCAAACAGCAACGGCCAGCAGTGAACGATCGACGGCTTCAACGCCGCGACTTCACCGTCATGCTTGGGGATGTTGTTGCGATGTGGCTTTGCAATGCTGATGGCTTCCAGGACTGCAAACGACTCATCCAAATCCCTCCGATACATGACCATATCGTCGTCGTCGTCCGTGCTGGGCTGGGGGGACCGGGGGGGCTCATCATCGTACCCAGACGACCGGTACGTTATGAGCTCAGACATGAGTTTTGAGAAGCCACTCGTGAAATGTCATGACAAAACGCAAAACCACCTTATTGCATATCTATCCGCTATGGTTCAATTAGGGTAGATGCCCACTTTGTCCAGGCAAAGGCTCGGGATTTTTCCTCACGGACAACCAAAAGTCAATCATCCATAGCTTACGGTCGTCGGACAGTCAGTTTTCCCTAAAACGTTTCGGAAAGTACTTTTGGGAAATCTCCCCATGGTGGTTTCAAACGAGATTTGTTGGCTTCACAACTGGCGACAAACTCGTTGTACTACTTACTACCTA